CTTACTATGGAGAAAAGATTGAAGGAGGTGGTTAATGGCGGTGCACAAGGCGGTGGTGGCAGCAGAATTTTTACAGCGGCCGGAGGGTGGTTCGGTGGTGGCAAGAGGGTGACGGGTTGTGTTTCTTTCCCTTTTTCTTGATAGTAACAGTGAGAGGGAGAGAGGAGAGATGTGAGGGAAGTGTTGTTTGATCAAAAGGAGTTACAAGGGAGGTGTTTGGGTGAGTTTAGGTGGAGCATTGGTGGTTTTAGATGGTGGCGTAGGATGGTGTTGTGGTGGTGTAAGAAAAGAAGAAGAGATTAAAAGAGAGTGAGAAGAAGTTGGCTGATGAATTGGTGAGCGAAAGAGACTCTTTGACTGTAACACTAGTCAAAATAGGTCAATAATAATCACATGTGATTATGCCAATCATGTAATGTGATTTTGTTAAACTAGTAATGTGATAAACTTACTATGTAGTTCATGATAAATTCTAATACAAATATGAACTTTCATACATACTTTATAAAGTATACGTCCATACGATTCCAAAAATATAGAGAACGTCTAAATCTGACTTCGCGTGAAGAAGTAATGATAAACCCTAACACTATAAATCTCTATAAAACGAGGAATTTAAAATAGACTTAGAATTAGCTATTGGAGTCTAAAAGAGAGTTGTAGTACTCATAAATACCTACGCGTGGATATAAAAAACGTTAAAAACGGAGTTCGTATGCAACAGTTACGACCTTCCGAAGATACAGCTGTCTAAGAGCGTCACACATGTCAGAAACCGTAATCTGACTGAGCTCACGACGTGAGCATAGATACTCACGACGTGAGGAGTCAAAACGTCACCATTAAAGGCTAGAACATGCATGGCAAGTCTACGGAGTGATAAGTCAAAACCTCACGACGTGCGCAAGGATTTCTCATGTCGTGAGGAGTCAAAGGGACACCATCCTACGCTAGGGGCCAAATGGCGGGTCTACGAAGTGAGCAGGATCGACCCCAAGGTTCCTTACACCTAACCTCTTCTTTCTCTCTCATTTGTGGAGGCCATTTGGCATCCCGAACCCAACGATCTCGAACTACTGACCGTTTCTAGTTAGATTACATAAAATCACGCTACTAAGGTGAGTTTCACGGCCCCACTTTTAATGTTTTTGGGGGAAAACGCATGCTAAGTATTATATATAAGTTAATATTATGTCTATATGATAGTATATTCGTATCAAGATAGATAGTTATATTAACCGGGATATAGTTATTTCGTATCTGAAAATATACAACTATCGTAAAGTTGTTAGTATGTTATTGTTATAGTAGTATACTAATGTAGATCTTGGGTTATACTTAGGATTCTATATATATATATATATATATATAATATATATATATATATATATATATATATATATATATATGTTGTGTGCGATATAGTTCCAGAGTTATACTCGGAAGTTCTATATTCTAATTGATAAGTATGTTGTTATTATTGGTTTTATGTCAAGATAAAACCAGGTATGTTATATGTTGTTATTATAGGATTTATGTCAAGATAAAACCTCGTATGTTACATGTTGTTATCATTAGTTTTATGTTAAGATAAAACCTGGTTTTACCTCAATTTATAGCTGTTGTACTACCTAAAGTATTATGAACTTAGGAGAAATGTTTAAAAGCATAGTCTAGTAACTTAGGCTTTTAGACACGAAAATGCTTTTGTTGTTAGAGCTATAGGAAGCCAAAAAAGTCTACATGAGTTATTGTATTCATCAACTAAGATTGGGGATCTTAGTAGAAATCCTCTAACCTGTAACCGTTAATCCTGTGCGAGCGAGGAAGTCGTGTATGAATAAGATACGGGTTGACAACCCCACTCGTGGTTGCTAGCTACAACCAAACTTAAGCGAGTGACGAACTGTGCTTTTGCTTGTTTATCGTTCCGACGTTGATGAAGCGTGTGGAACTTATCTTAAGATGCGAAACTTGTAGCATCAAGCAGAGGTTTGAAACTAGTCATACAGCCGCGGTTACGGACTAATGGTATCAAATTGTTAGAAGCATTATACTTTGTCGTTATACAAGTATTAATGTTAAGTATAAGTTTCTCAAACACTTATACTCTAAGTACAAGAACTGGTAGGTATACTACTGGTATATTAAGTAGACAACTATACCTAGCCTACATACTCGTATAAAATTGAAATAAGATTTATATGTAGCCGTTTTTACTTGTATAGAATTGAAATAAGATTTATACGTAGCTGTTTTTACTCATATAATTTTGAAATAAGATTTATATGTAGCAACCTTCGTTTGTATGGAATTGCAAACACCTATATGCATAGTATATGAAACTTATAGGTATACTACTAAGTAAACCATTATACCTAGGATCTATATATACTATATAGAAACAAGTATGAGTCAGAATAATATTTTCAAACTATGTTCTATACTTTTTGGACTCGGAAAGAGTACTATTTTTACTCAGAGTCAAAACATGTGAGTTCACCAACTTTATGTTGACGTATTTTCAAAATGCATGTGTTTTCAGGAACTTGATAAGCTGGAATAATATAACTTTCTATTATCAATAAAGGTACGTAGTTTACAATAATTTGGTTGTACTGTTCAATATATATTTGATAACTATGATACAAGGAATGACGTTGCACCGCCCGGTGTTTCCGCCGACAGGTCGGGGTGTGACATTGTCGCTTATATTTATAGTTAATACACACACACACAACCCACATAAGACCATACCTCCAACTCATGGTGTACCTTCTGGTGAGACTTGCACATAAAGAAGGAGAGGAAAGAAGAATAAAAAGACGTGGGGAAGAAGCACAAGGCAAATAAATCTGGTCATTTTTGCCTCTTGGGTAATATGTGGGCCCCATATGGGGTTATACCCCCATTAAATGCCCAAAACACACAAAACCGGGTACATTGGGATCCGTGCATCGAGAAGTTTTTTTTGAAAGTACCGTTTGATAGAGTTTAATGTAAGGATTCCAGAACATCAAACGGATTAGTTTTTGGAGTTACAGATCTCCGGGAAATTGCGTTTGAAGTTTAGCATCTTAACGACTCGCGGTGTCCGTTTTCGCGACTTTTGTAAATATTTTTGTAAAAATTATTTCTAGGGTGAAATTAAATAATAGACTATAACTTGAGTCCAAAAACGCTCTCGAAAATCCTGTCGGTAAAGCGTAAGTACCTCAACGGATAGATTCGGTTTTACGCGATTAAAGAAAACCAGTATTTTACTGTCTGTTTTCTTAAAACTGTCGTATCTTTTGTATATGAACTCCGTTTTGGACGTTCTTTATATTTTCGGAAACAGTGGAACATGTACTATAATATTTTAATGTTCGTTTTGCTTAAAACTGCTTAATGTAAAATTTCAGTTTTTCAAACGCATTAATTAGCGTTGCTTTTTAAGCTGTTTGATTTAGTTGACCGTTTATGTAACGCTTGTTCCAAGTGTAAGTCCCTAAACTGTGGATCTTATGTGATATCAATCTTAATTGCTTAGAGAATGCAGAATGTTAATCAAGCAATGATTCAAGAGCACACAAAATAACTTCAAATGCACACGGTGTATTATCAATAAATCGTCTGGTACAAGAGAATACTTTCACAGCCAATTCCTAATGAACGAACAACTCTAAACCTCACACGGCTAAACATATATATATGAATATAATACAAATCCTATTAAGACCAAAGCCCATGTATGACCGAAATCACTAGGTGATTTCGGTCCATCCAACCGAGAACACATACAAACCCATTTGCACAAATACATCTAAGCCCAAATACAATAATTAACAATAAGCCAAACATAAACCATTTAAATATGACCCAAAAATCTCCCCCTTGGATTATTGCTGGCTATTGATGACTAACTTCGAGGCTTCTCCACGAGATGCACGTCTTCCTGATCAAATGCCCCAGCCCACAACTTCTGTTCAATTATGGTAGCAACCATTCCGGTGAATTCTTTTACGGATGATTCAAACAATTCATTCTCAAAAATTATTTGAAAGCTTGACAAAGTTCGGATATCACGTTCACAAAACTTCAACAAGTCTTTGGGGTCGACAATGCGATACAGGCTCCTCTTTAGCTTGATGACCACTGTTGCGGTAGCCTTATCATAAACCCAGAATTGCATTGAGTCCAAAGTGCCTTCTGGTAAACGTTTGGGAAGCGGAATCCTTTGAGCTTTCTTTGTAGGCGGCCACATAACATTCACCATGGTTTTATTAGTGCGAGGATCAATGACACCCTTGGCCTTTTTCGTAAATGACGAATCAGTCTTCATGCCTTCAAAGTTATTTTTAGCTTTATCCTCAAGAAGCTGTTAAAAGACTAGGTTGTGGGATCATTGGTTGGATTGTGGAAAGGAGCGTGAACAAGTTCAGAAAGATCAACTTTTGTCCAGGACAGAAAGTCGACACTCTTCTTATAATACTTAATTCGTCCGCTCTTACGCTTTACGACCCACATTTTCTTATCAGCTTCATATCCCCACATACGAATGCCAGAGCGGTCCCCATATTTATCTGTAAACTTCTTCCCAGTCTCCTTGAGAAACATCTCAGGGTGATCACCTGGAGCATTTTGGTCTGAATGCTTCATCACTAGCATCTTCCCTTTCAGCTGATCAATCCTGATTTGTTTCTCTCTTTTTTCTTGACCAGAGGAAGGACCAGAAGATAAAAATATGTCAAGAACTGCATCTAGAGTAGGTCTTACAACTCTTTCACTTGCAGGTTGAGAAGGTGGACTGACTGGACCAGAACTAGAAGCTGAAATCTTTTTTCCTTCAGCGCTTAAAGGTTGAAAATCATCACCAAACTTTAGATGTAAGCGATGTTTCAGGTCAAAGAATAAAGCAATTAGACCACCAAGATTTGCTTGAAGTTCTGAAATCTTTGCATCTTTAATGAAGTTCTCCTTTTCAAGATCACTGATTCTACTGTCTTGCTTTCTAATAATCAAATCCTTTTCTGTTGAGCTCTATTCCAAAACAAAAACTCTGTTCTGAAGCAGATCAACATCCACAAATTCACACTTAGGTAGCTTGCTTTTTCCTTTTTTGAAATATCCAGTTCAGGGGCTTCAAAGAAGCTTCCAGAAGGTTTAGCACCTTCAGAAGGCAAAACTATTTCTTCAATAATAGGGATTTGAAAGTCCCGATCCATAGGAGTAGACTCAGGTAACAGGCTTGAAATTTCTTGAATCACTAGAATGGACTCAGTGACAGGGCTTGGTATGCTTTGAGCCATAGAACCAGGCTCAATCGTTGAAAATTCCTTTTGGACTTGCTCTGAGATAAGCACTCCAGGCCTTGGATCTCTTCTCTTTCTTTTAATCTGGAGAAGGACGTGAGTTGAATCTTCTTGATCACTCTCAGATGGAGGTTCAGTTATAACAGGCAGTGCTTGGGGAGGCTTCCTCGCAGTTCGCTGAAGTTCTGCAATAAGAGTATCCATCTGTTCAGGGGTTGGATCGTTTGATTGTTTGAAAATGTTTATCTCTTTCTCTGTCTCAACTGGAGATATCACAACCTCATTGACTGGCTCCTTTGATGGTACAAACATACGAAAATCCATACATTCATCATCATCATCAGCATCATCATCATCATCATCATCATCATCATCATCATCATTAACATCATCATCATTATCATCAGAAATTTCAACCTCTTCAAATGCAAATTGAAATTTTGGTTTAGGTGCTACGTGTTCCTCATCAACCTCAGCATTAATGGAACTAGCAGCAGGAGTATCTTCAACTTCAGCAAACTTAACCAACTCCTTCAATTCTTGATAAAACGACCTTGGTTTCTTTTCTTGATTGTTTCATGAGCCCAAAGGTGTTGGAACCCAAGGCTTTCATATCCAAAGTGTCAGATGACCTCTCAAGTTGGGGATATTTTTCATTGAAGATCATTTCAAGGAACCTGGGATACATCAAAAACAGGTCATTCTTCTTCCCCTGAAGGTTGCTTTTCATTTCTTCAAAGAAAAACCTTGAAATGTTGTAATTCCAGTCCATTGCTAGAGCAACAATGGCTGAGGTCGCAGCCTGACTAATTTCATCCGATCCTCCCTTCCTTCCACAAATACAAATTACAAAGCAGTGTGCCAGAAACCTCCAAAAGGTGGCAGCTCCTTCTTCATGGTAGGAGGATAGGTTCCTTCATAGCACATTTTCTCAAGGGCTCCCATCACTTGATCGGCAGAATACTCAATTCGAAATGCAGGAGCATCACCAAACTCAAGCACTTCTCGGATAACTTGCCCGGAAACAATTACTGGAGTTCCCTTCACCATTGATTCAATAGCACCAGCTTCATCTGCTCCCTGCTTATTGATTGGGGCATTCTTCCAGAACTCAGTAATCACGTTCCTATAGATGACTGGATTAGAACACAAAGAGTGGGAAATCTTGAAATTATTCAAACCCACGATCATGGATTTGAATTCACTGTGCACCGCAGGTGGATCCAAGAGATATCCAACAATATTGTGAGAGTCTACAAATTTCAATTGATCCGCCATTTAACTGGACCAAACGAATCAAGTAAGAATAATAAATATTAAAATTAAAATTTCATTTTTCTCAAAAAGTTTAATGTTTTGTCAATATTGTCGATTTCGATCAAAGTAAGTCGATTTCAGTCAAAATGACGATTTCGGTCAAATTTTGTTGATTTTGATGCGTTTATTTGGTTTTCGGTTGAATTTAATTGATTTCGGTTGGACTTAATTGTTTCGGTTGGACCCGGGTCAAGTTCGATCGATTTCGGTCAGATCTGGGTCAAACCGAAAAGCCCGAGAAAAAAACCCGACGATTCATATATTGAACTCTTTGACAGTTCCGCTGGAAACTACCATCAGCCACGCCGAAAACCCCATTAAACACCTGCAAACACCTCAAAACAACATAAAACTGGAAGCATGATATCTGAAATCTATATACCTAGAGAAGATTGGAAGAAATCAAAAGAGATTTGACGATTTTAAGCTGAAAATGAAGCGATGAACAAGTGACTTTGGCTTAGGGTTTTGAGAGAAAAGGAAAACTGAATTCAGTGGTGGTGAGGAACAAATGAAACACAAAATCCCTTTTAAACCCTAAATCAACAAATAATTGGTTCTCAGACCTTTGGGCTACCAAAATCAATGGGCCTCAAAATAAAACAATTCAACAAAAATTAAATTTATTTCCATGATTCATTTCTTAGATTGAAATTAAAATAAATTAAAAATGAAATTTCAAGCTTAAAATTTTAAATGAATGTAAATTAAAAATAAAAAAGAAAAGTAAAAATAAACTTAGCACACAATAGAAATAACTAAGAAATAAAAATAAAATTAAAAATACACTCAAAATAAAATATTTTTGACAAAGAAATAAAAACAGAAATAAACATATTTTGGATTTTTTTTTTCAAATTTTATGATTTTTGTTTGATTTTTTTAATTCTCCCCCTAAATTTGTGCATAGAGGAAAAATATGAACAAATTTAATAAGAAAACAAAAATAAAAAACAAAATTTAAAACTTTTTGGGATCAAAGATGTCAAGCAATTCAATATCGTTTATCAGCACACACTTGCATGTTTAGCTCTGGTCAATCACCAATATTGTGGTCTACTTAAACACGAAGGATGTTGACAAGTTGGATAGATTATAAATGACAAGACATTATGATTATATTCCTAAATAGACCATTTTGCTGACGACGACCAAGGATATTGTTGTCCACTTAAATTCAGCAGCGAGATCTACAACCAACCTTTAATCATGAACCAATTCAATTTTAAGCTCACTAGAACATGTTCCCCAGTTCACGACATACCCTAGCAATCAAGGAATTCCAAAGAGCTCTTTACTTTAGGTGAGTGTTCAATTATTTGAGAGAGAAGATAGATATAGAGATGCATATGTTGTATCCCAGGTCGGATCTCTTTCAATCACGCAGAGGGGACAACATATGACTAACATAGATAGAGGGTTAGAGAGATAAAAAGGTGCATATGTTGTGTCCCAGGTCAGATCTTCCGATCACGCAAAGGGGACAACATATGACTGACATAGATAGATAGAAAGATGCATAGAAATAAAGATGCATATGTTGCGTCCCGGGTCGGATCTTCCGATCACGCAAAGGGGGCAACATATGACTGACATAGAGGATAAGAAAGAAAAACAATTTCACACAGACCTACCTTATCAGAACCACCCAGTCACCCTATCAGTACCAGAATTAAGGACATAAGTTTGTACATCGAAGAAGTGTTGAGCCACAGTTCTAGATGATAAGTAACTTTAATATATCTCGTAGGCTTCCTTGTTTATCTCACTGCTCAATCTATCCAAGCATCGTATGGTCAGTTCAAATGTAACTATCTAAGTCCAGATGAGTTAACATTGTCAAGTCCTTTCATTGTCAACAGTGTCTAGTCCTTTCATTTTGAATCTTTCGTGCCTACCAGCACACTGAACACAGAGTCTAAACAATTTAGTTTTAGTGCCTTACACGTATTTCAGATTGCCCTTTAACACTAAACTTCATATCACTTCCCAAGAACACTTACGAAAGAAGACATATATTTGGAATTTTTGATTTTATGATTTTTATGAAATTTTTTAATTTATAATTTTTTTTTATTTCTCCCCCTAAATTTGTACATAGGGAAGAAATGAAATAAAATAAATGCACAAATTTAAACACAAAAATAAAAAATTTAATCTTCGAAACGAATCATTATTAGAAAACCCACAAGCACATCGAAACGAGCTTTATTGAAAGGTTTGGTGAACAAATCTGCCACATTGTTATCGGTGTGAATTTGTTCCAAACGAATGAGCTTACGCTCATAACAGTCTCGAATAAAATGAACTTTAATGTCGATGTTCTTGGTTTTTAAATGTTGAACGGGATTTTTGGAAATTTGAATGGCCACATCATTATCACAAAAAATGGGGGTGTCAAGAAAGTTCAAATAGTAATCCAGCAATTGGTGTTGAATCCAGATAACCTGAGAGCAGCAGGCTGAGGCGGCAACATATTCAGCCTCAGCCGTTAAGTTCGACACCGTTTGTTGTTTCTTGCATTGCCATGACACCAATCGGTCCCCTAAGAACTGACATCCACCCGATGTAGATTTCCTATCAAGATCACAACCTCCATAGTTGCTGTCAGCAAAAGCATATAAATCGAAATTGGGATTTTTAGGATACCAAAGACCCAATTTAGGGCAACCTTTAAGGTACCTAAAAATGCTTTTAACCAGAATTAAATGGGAAAGTTCAGGATTAGCCTAATAACGAGCGCATTGACAAATGGAAAACATGATGTCAGGTCTACTGGCAGTCAGATACATCAGAGATCCGATCATGGATCGATATTCAGTTTGATCTACGGATTGTCCATCTGGATCTGGAGTCAACAATGGTCTTTCTACCATTGGAGTGGAAGCAATTTTTGAATCTTTAAAACCAAACTTTTCTAGCATGTCTTCCACATATTTTCCTTGATGTAATAAAATTCCAGCCGAATCCTGTCGAATTTGTAACCCTAGAAACATTATCATTTCACCCAGCGAGCTCATCTCAAATCTTTTCTTCATTACATCCTCAAACTCTTTACGTAGCTCTGTGATGGTCGACACGAAAATGATGTCGTCTATGTAGATTTGTACGACAATCAAATCTACATCCACTTTCTTGATGAATAAAGTCTGATCGATCGTTCCCTTTGTGTACCCGTGCTCAAGCAGATGTTCAGTTAGTGATGAAGTGATGAATCAAGAATATATCAGAGAAATGATCAAATGAACAAGGAGAGTAAATATAATCTGGTTTTCAGCTCGTATTATGCTTCCAATTCTTAGAGAGAGAAAGTAGACAAGTTATACTCAGACTCTTATCTAACTCTAAGTAAAGTCCCTATTTATAGGAGACGTGAAAGCATACAAAAAATTACAAGGACTAAAACACTAAGCTTCGATACAAAATGCCTTGTAAAATAATATAACAAACTTCGACATATTACAACAAAACTTCGACCCTTACAATCTCCCCCTTTGTAATAATGTCGAATATCTCAACTTGAGAGAATTTGTGCAGCAAAAAGCATCACCCTTCGAATCTCTGTATACCATGACATAATCTTCTTTAACTCCTTCTTATCCCCTGGATTATTCTTTGAACAGTTATTCATACGAATAATAAAATTCGTATATTGGAATGTGGTATATCTTTCAACTTCTCCTGATTGAAATAAGAACCTTTTTGCTTTGTCGTTCTTGTCTTTTCCAGCAAACACCATTCCAAATGGTTTTAAGAAAATTTCCCCATCATCATATTTCTTCAACTCAGGTTGGGTCTTCGAAACATCCATAGGGACTTTCACTTCATTCCCCAATGATGTAGCCAACTCCACATCAGTCAAAGCCAAACACTCATAGTAATTATCTCTAAATATTTTGATGTGAGCAAGACCAAGTCTAAAAACTTCTGGATCTGTTCCTTGAAGATGCGAAGCATTCTTGTCTTTCAAAAGTAATGCAACTTATATAAGATCGTACAAGTTCATTAACGGAAAATCAGCTACTGAGAAATCACAAACTTTACTGTTCGCCCTTACTACATGATAACAAAGATTCTGTAAAGTATTTTCGAATAATACATCCTTCGTTATGCTGAGCACCTTCTTGATTTTCACCAAAGACCATATCTCCTCTAGCAATTTTCCAAGAACAGCATGAAACCTAAGTTTCATGTAGGTGTAATCATCATCATTATCAAACTTCTCTGCAATCTTGTGCTGAGCCATCATGAACATCATTTCGTTCACAGGGAAATCAAGTTGACTCATATCAGTGTTAGTAACCGCATAGCTTTGCTTGGGCTTTTTCTCGAAAGAATACATATGATTGTAAGCAACTTTTGCTTCAATAGTTTCGTAATTGTAATGCTTGCTTGGATCTCCCTTATTCATTTCAGGTGGATCATTTGCACGAAGTATCATAATAGTTTGAATCACCCTTTGTTTCTCCATTTCAGCTTCAACTTTTGCTTTCTTCTCTTCTTTTGATTTCTCAACAATAATCGTTTTCCCTTTGTCTTTATTCCCAGGAATTTCAACATCTTCCTTTGGTTTAGAACTACTTCCCTCTCCAGCAGAAGAATCAATCACT